GGGTTGGGGGTTGGAGAGAAGTGGGTGGAGGTAGTCTTCAGGTAAAGGGTTGTTTATATGCCAATAAAATCTCTCTCTGAAAATAAGCCTTCACTGAAACTGTAATAGGCATCCCATCCTCTGGACAGAAGAGTAAAGAAATGAAAAGAAAGACCATACAACCAGCCTCCTGGTCATACATGCAATTACTCCTTGGTATATATCTGTGTGATAAAAGAAACCGATCTTGGCCATGTGAATTGTTTCTTCTTAAAATGGAAATGAGCAAAAACACAAAAACAATGTTTGAAATCAAACCTTGAGAAAATCAGGTAACATAATATATTTGATTAAAAGTGATTATCTTTGATTTCCGTCTTATGGATGACACAAATTCTCTGTGTTTATCTCTCAGTTAGTAGATGTGACATGATTGGTCAATTGAGCGGGCTGTATGTTACTTCGCAACCAGCTAAATTCAAAAGTTTGTTGAATTTAATTCTTCCCCTCTATTTGAACCCGGAGAAATAATAAACATCTCACCTCGTTTTACACTGTTTTTTTCGCTCGGACTTATGAGCCAAGCGCGAAGAGCGCGGGGCATAAATCCGAGCGGAAAAAACGAGGTTCCGTAACTTATAGTAGAACGGACCACGGACGCGATAAGTAAGAGGAATATATACAAAAGGAAAGAACTTGGCGAAAGTGAGTTAATTTAGTGCTGTGGACAGGCTAAAAAAGTTTGCTACTCTCGATCTCATTCCAACCTTTTTCAATTTCCTTTCTCATTTGTAATAAGATTTGATTTAAACTTTGATTGAGTTATCTTTCACAATACAAGTTCCAAAATTGCTCATAAAATCACGATAAGTTCATGATTAAAAGTCTTATTAATCATTACAATATCAAAATATATATGTTAAATAACTTTAGCTTACATACTCGAAAGCACCCTATGCGGCAAATTGCGTACGCTAGAGAACACCACTGACATTTCTCTCCCATTTCTCCACCTTGACCTGCAAATGATTATTCTAACGGCAGAAAATTTCCTAATTTTAAAAGCGAATACATGGAGAAGACACGATCAAAATTGTCAACTGATTTACGCGGGCTTTCAAATCTTTATCATCTGCCATTTTGAGTCATGTGACTAAAGCCTAGGCTCCCCGTCAAGGGAAGTGAGAGCAGTCGACGTGACTTTGCCTGATTCAAGAGTTATTTTCGTTGTTTGCGTGTGCTTTTGCGCGTAAAAAACTGCTTCAAAGAGACGATCAAGTAGTTCAAAGATCAGAACAGAGTCATCATGTCATTGGCAGGGTTCAGAAAACAAATTAACAAAGCGAATCAGGTAGAGTAATGGGCGAGTAGGGCAGTGTTTCACGGCACAACTTGGTACGTGCTCGTGTTCATATTTCATGAACCGTTCCATCTTTGATTTCCGTTTGTTGATTAACAGTTCATGAGTGAGAAGATTGGTGGTGCCAAGGGATCTAAACTGGAAGAAGATTTTGTGGAGCTAGAAAGAGTAAGTTTCCTCATAAGGGTTACCAAATTGACCCCAGGTTCTACCAATGTGTATTTTCCCTTTCTGGTCGGATTCTACACGTAAGCTGAAGTAACCTTTAATGTTTGTAAACGACTTTTTAAAATAATTCTACTTCTATTATTAGGAAATAATAGTTTGTCTTATAACCTCTCGAAGCTCGAGGCATCCTATTAATTTCTTCTTCAGGCCGAGTTGTAATCCGTTTTGTTTTGAAACCCTTCCCAGAGTGTCAAAAGGAACTTGACACAAGATGCTACAACCGCTGACGCCACGAAAATTTTGTCGCACCGGTGATAATGATGAACATCAGGGATTTGCATTTTCATGTGTCACTGAATAGTGAGAATAATTTTAAGTTTACGGATGTTTTGCCCAGCGAGAGTCAAACTTCGGTTTCCTAGTGTTTTGTAATGACTTGCAAAATATCTATTGTTCTATACATGTTCCTCTTTGAATCGAAACTTGAAAGTATGTACCGCTTGTTATTATCGGAATGCTAGTTAAAAAATAATTATTGATTTTAATGTCCATAAATTTTCTGTAACCTCATAGCAATATTCGCTTCATGCAGTTTAAATCGAATCATTTAGAAATTTCTATAATGAGGAAATTCAATGGAAAAAGTTTATAATTTTCTCATTTCGTAAAGCTTAATCTCTCTCTGCATTTAATTACCATTAATAGTAAAACCTATATTTCATCGCATTTGTTCAATCCACAAACTCAGATATTACCTATAAATGAGTTTTAATCTTCTTATGTTAAAAGTGATGTCGAATTAATTAACACAACAACAGCAACGAGGAATCGAATTAGTGACTCGCAGATCCATGCAGTCGCTCTATCATATCAACGAACGTTTTGCAAAGATCGCATCCTAAAATCGTGGATAGTACGTAGAATGAGATGGAAAAATGTGGACTGAAGAATACTGCAAATTGGTTTTTAGGAAATAATTGTACTTTGCTAAAAATTCAGAAAAAGGCAATTGTAAAATTTTCTTAGTTTTCTCACAGGAAATATAATATTATGTACCATATACCTGTACATGAAATTGAATTAGATCGGAACTCAACGAAACCGAAAAAAGAAAAATTGGGGGGACAGAAAGTCTTATGTATAAAGTGATATGCAAAATATCTTTATGTGGGAAGTTCAGAATTCTTGGCTGTTGTGGTAAAAAAGGTTCAGTGTTATAAAAAATTATCCAGAGTTCTAACTATCATATCTCATGCTGTTCCAACATGCTCAGCTTAGACATTGTATTTTTGGAGGGAAAGGGTTAAAAGCTACAAAGTTTTATCTGACTGAAGGTTTAGTTGATAAATTTAATTTTATCTTTATCACTTTGCTGGGGAATTGTGTTCCCCATCTGTCATACCTACTGTTTAATCTGAATATAATTATTTTGCAATGGTTCTCTATGTTATATTATATAATAGATGTGTTTAACTAAGTGGACCACTCTATAATTTAATGCAATTTTAAGACCATTTTGGTCAAATTGAACTTATTGATTGAAGAAACTTTATAAATGAATTCTTATTGTTGAAGAGTAAGTTAAATGAAATTTGTAAATTTTGAAGTTTTTACTTAGTGGGACAGAGGAAAATATCTCGTGTTCATGTTATTGTTATGTTAATGTTGGTCCTCAGTGAGCTTAATTACTATATATGTTTTGCTCTTTTTTTGTAGAAAACAGATATTACTGCAAACCTGGTGGATCAAGTCAGTGGTAAAACAAAAGAATACCTTCAACCTAACCCAGGTACTCAGTGGACTGAAAATATAACATTTCATATTTTAGTTTGTGTTCTATGATTGATTGATTTTGCAGGCCATACTTCACTGTACGGCTTACTAAATTCAAAACTTTGTTTGAATTGAAATTTTTTCCCTCTGTTTGAACTCATGGCCTGTGTGCCTTATGCTTACGCCATAAATCTGGCGGTGAAAAACCTCTGATAAGACTAATGTGTTGCTCTCCATTCTGCCGCATATTGACTTTATGTAATCTTACTCTGAAGCTGCTCGGGCCAAGCTTACAATGCAAACAACTGTGCACAAAGTGCGAGGTGAAGCCAAAGTGTCAAGGTACCCCCAACCAGAGGGCCTTCTAGGAGAGACCATGCAAAAAGGAGGCACTGATCTTGGGGATGATTCACTCTTTGGTAAAATGAGTAACATTTGCATGTAACTGAATTGCTAATTGTGTAGTTGAAACTCATTCCCATATCGTAAAATATTATATAGTAACCATTCAATGAGTGAATTACTTGTATCTTTGAAAGAGATGGTTATTTTTCCTTCCTTTAAAACTTTTACACCTCACCTTCCCTGTTACTGCAAGGTGTGCTGATAGAAGGGTTTTATTTTTTGATTCAAACTTTATTGACATGTCTATGGGCATTAGCATTTTTACTTAATTTATACTGAATTGTTATGTGATGCAAATGTCACCATGTTTTGCCAAGTTTGTTTTTGACAAAATAAGCTAAATCCAGACATCCCTTGCAAGACATTTTTATAATAATTGTAAATGTATGAAGATGTTTTGTTACACATATGTTTTACTTATATAAATATTTTTTGGTTAAAAAAGTAACAATACAAAGCTCAAAAATTATGTTCTGAATACTAAGTAAATAAAATTGGAAAAATCAGTTTACATTTACAAAGTTACAGAAAAAAACTGAATAATTGGAGGTTAGGTTCAAAACAGCTGAGTGTGCAATTACTGTTGTGAGCATTTATATTGATCATAATCAGTTATTTAAAGATTACCTGGTACTTAAAGAGAAAACATTACACCTCTTTGCATTCTCACTTTTAAAGTAAGTAAATTATAGTTTACAAGTTGGAAGAATATTAAATACTTGTAATTACTGTGAACAATTAGGAAAAAAGAGAGAAAAGACAAAAAAAAACCGCAAACAAAAACAATAAATAGATGTACGTACAGTGTACATGTGTCTGATTCTCAGTTCCCTGATGAAACTTTTACTCAGTGAATCCACATGATATTACAGAGCATTCATTCTTGCAGAAATCATTAGCTTACACTTAAACATGATGAATGCCATTTATTGTGTGCTATGACTAAAATTTACCTACAGGCCAAGCCCTTCAGGATGCAGGGGAGGCCTTCTCAAATCTAGCTGAAATAAAAGAAGCACTGGACAATACTGTCAAACAGAACTTCCTTGATCCGCTGGATCAGCTTAGAAACAGGGATATCAAGGAAATTATGGTACAATTTGAAACATAACTTACTTAACAAATAAATGACAAAAAGATTTTCATGTTGCTTTGCATCTGTTCAGCAATAGATCAAAATGAAGTAAGAACAAAAAAGTGGCACACAAGACGAAGCCAAGTGTTTCACTGATTTTCTACCACATTTTGATGCCTTCTGTGATCTATTACTTTACAGACCCATGGCAATGTGGCATCCATTTGTTTCATATTATAAAAATGTATCATACAGGAAGAATTGTTAATGGTGACTTCATCCATGCATCAGTGTCCTCCAATAGATCATGATTATGTAAGCCCCATGTATAATTCATGTGAAATGACATTCTTCATAAAGCTAAACAACATATGGTCATGTCTCTGTCAGCATTCATAATTTTTTTCTTAAAACTTTATTTGCCATTTAGAAGGCTCAGTTGAACAGTGATCAGCCCAACTAGCAGTCAGTCATTATATGTGAATATGAAGTTGCTTGTGTATGCTTGTTTAGAAGCAACTACCACCAGGCTAATTATTCTTCAGTATTCTTGTTCATGTAAAGCTGTTTGTGTGGTATTTTAATCAAATTTATAATATTTTGCACTGAGTAGTGACACATTTCTTCTGATTTTCTTTTCAGCACCACAGAAAGAAACTGCAGGGACGGCGACTTGATTATGATTGCAAAAAGAGGAAGGGGCCCAAAGGTACACATTGATCGTAGTTAAGTTTGTTTGGTTTGTAATAGTAGAGCTTGCAGAGTGTAGCCCCATAATTATGCAAAATAGTAGTGACCCATCGAGCCGAAAAAAATTTGGATGGACAACTGTACAAGGTGCTACTTTTAACATGCGTGGTCAACTGTACTGCGGGCATGCCAGTGCCATGGCTTTGTCCAGTAGTCCAGTAGTCAGTGCACCGGGCTCCAAGTTGGACAACATGGGTTCTAGTCCTGGCCAGGGCAAGGTGTTGTGCCCCAATGAGACATGTGGAAAAAAAAAATGCAAGCTCTGCTTTTAGGCTTGGCCAAATCTATATATTATTATTGTTCTCCATTCTGTTGTACAAAAGGCATTATAATTCCCAAAAACTTTCTCCAATTCCTCTGATAACTGGTGTTTGAGCAACACAATGCAATGGAATAAAAGTGATTTTCCTCAGAAGTACAAAATGAAATACAATGTACATGAAGGAGCTTTTTTGCTGTATTATTATGACTATCCACCTTTTAGTTGGGAGGTTACTGCCATTTTGGCTTGCCTTTTTTATTAATTTTTATTTTCCTTTTTTTGTATTTTCTAGTTATTTATTTTCTTGTTTCTTTTTTCTTTCAATAGTTCCAGAAGAAGAAGTCAGAGCTGCAGAAGAAAAATTTGAGGAATCTAAAGAGATTTGTTATAACAGTATGCTGAACCTCATTGAGACTGCTGATGTAAGCATGGAAATGTATTTTTTTTCAGTTAATACAAATTTACTTTTAATAATGATCCCTTGTCTCCAGCTGTACTGTAACTGTTTGATCTGAAATTTGTGAAACCTTGAGGTAAATTGTACAGCCCCTTTACAATAAATTAAACTGGAACTTGTATTGATCACTAACTGTAATTTGTAATATGTTCTGTAGCTGGAGCAAGTTAGTCAGCTGGCAGCCCTAGCAGAAGCAATATTTGACTATCACAAACACTGCTCAGATGTCATGGAAAGCCTGGTAGCTACTCTGAACGACAAGTTAGTGGATTGATGAACATTTCAATGTATACACATACTTGCAACTGTTCTGTCTGTAACCATTATGTTTTCTTGCAGCTTTGACTGCAGAGAAATTCTGGAGAGAGATTGGTTTTAAGTTACTGCATCTTTAAGGTTCATTTCAGTAGTGGTTTCCTTTTGACTTTTATTTATTTCTTTTTCAACTTAACTCTTCTTTATTTTAGGGTTTCTGAAGCTGGTAGTCGCCCACGAAGTGAGCGAAGGTCCATCCGCATTCGCAGTAATGATGATAGTGATGATGAGGAGCCCGGGTCCTCTTACAGTTTCTCACCCACACCATCTGCCACTCCATCAGCCCCACCATCAGCACCCACCCCTGCAACAAATGGTTCTTACTACAGTGGCCCATTTAAAGCAGTGTATGATTTTGAGTCAGGTAAGAAAAGTCTTTGTAACATATTTGTTCAAATTATTTTATAAACAAAATCTACAACTTGTGTACATAAGTAGTGCAACCACACACTAGTGTTATGAAATTATCACTGTGGTGGTCTTTGCCAAGCACAATGTTACACCTTGAACTGAATTGAAGACATTGCAGTTTTAAAATATTAAGGCCAAACTTGCTTTATTTTAATTTAACAAGATAAGAAGTTGATCTCTCAACTTTAACTTCTGTTATTTTGCATATATAGTTCTCCATTCTTACACAAGCATATTTATTTTTGTTTTCCAGAAAATGACAATGAACTAGGTTTTAATGAAGGTGATGTAATCCAAGTGGATGAGCAAATAGATGAAAACTGGCTTTCTGGAACATTAAATGGCCAAACTGGAATGTTTCCTCTTAATTATGTAGAGAAAATGTAACTTTGATCAACCATTTTGAACAATTGTTAGGTTTGACTGGGTACAATGAATTGATGTATGAACTTAATTTATGTGACAAAATTAATTCTTGCCATATCAAAATAAACTTTGCAAACTAGGTTATATGATTTTGTCATAAGAAGAAGCTGAGAGAAGGATCTTGTACATTATGTAGTTGTATAAAAATTTACCTGCAATAATCCCTAGAATCATTAGTTGTAGCTCAAAGGAGATTAGGCTCTTAATAGTCAGCAGCACTTTTTGGGGGAAAAGGAGAAAAAAATTTTAAAAATAGGAAAATTAACAATTCAATAAATAGAAATCATAAAGTTTTCTTTCAAACTGGTCGATAATGGTTCTACTTAAAACAACATTTTGTTGCCAACCATGGGGGGATTATCACATCTGATTGGTTTGTGTCTTACAACCTGACCATCATGGAAAGCAGTTGAATTACTGCTGTGTGGAATATGTTTCAATGAAGACAACTATTATTTACTCTAATGAAACAATGCTGCTTTATTTTACAATCATCCTGGTTTATGAAATCGTTCGTACATAATTGATAAATATGCAGCTATAGTAACCATAAGGCTTTGCTTTTCGCAGCCTGTGAACAGAGACTTATATGCCAGACTGCAAGTAAACTTTGGTACAGTTAAAGTCATTATCTTACTTGTAAAGTGGAGTTCAGAACGCAACATGTACACCTTCATATGGTTAATTGTTTTGGCAAATTCATGCAATTTTAGTTATAAAAGTCAGTGCATGTGATTGAACTTGATTATGAAATATGTGTATTTAGAAGTGAGGAAAATTATTACAAGTTTTAGTGACCCACCACAGAACAATTGTGAATGGGGATGCTATGAAGTCTTCTGTTACATGTGCATGAGATATGTTCTCAGTGTAGCTTGAGGTGAGGTATTCATTAAATCGTTATGAGGTGATCTTAGATAATTAGAGACCTTTTTAGTAGGTGTCAGTGATTATCAAGAGATCTTAGTTTGCAATAAAATTTAAGTGTTTTATTGAGTATCGTGCTGTGAACTAGTAAACCAGATACCTTGTAGTCTGCAATTTTGAAAGTTCACTGTTGCATGGCAAAGTACAAGGAACACTGCAGCTTCTGGTTTTCATGAACTTATTTTCTTGGTGGAGATAGACCCAAATTGTTAGAATGTCTCTGTACATATTGCATTCTTGGATTAAAGTAACAGGCTGTTTGCTGTTTGTAAACCACAAAGAAGGAATGATGACAGCCAAAAGAAATCCCAACCATGCTCCCTCCCCTGACCACCACAATGTTGGCACTTTATTTGGAGACTAACGACTTTCTAAGACTTGTTGAACACTGAGGGCACAAGTGGGTAATGGAAATGTTTTATTATTCTATATACCATTTATTACTATTTGGCCAAAGATTTTCTTAATTTTTTTCCTAGATATCTGCAATTTTTTCCCTAAACGATTTGATTTTTGCAATTGTGGGTGATTTATGATGGTGAATTAAACAATAACCTAAAATGTGGCATAAAGTGTAAGAGGATTATGATTTTTAAACTAACCCTAAGCATTAACAACAATGAATCCAAGAACACAAACTGATCTTCTCACCAAAAAGTTTATTTACATTGCATGGAACAAAACGTACATAACAGTACAGATTAATGCGGTAAAGAAAAGGAAATTTGTTTCATGTTTTAACAACCTTTCCCTCAACCTTATCAAACCAGATATAATCGTTTATGTTTCTATTTAGTAGACACTCTGGTTTTCTTGTTCCAAGAAAAGTTTGCTCCATAAGACTTTGGCTTCATCTTGACTTCATGTTTGTCATCAATTTCATAATTCCAACCTGATAACACAGGGAAAATTAGAAGGCATCTTAATCAGGTGTAATGAATACTTGTAGTCAACTGATTTTGAGTGCAATTTGGAAACTATAAACATGTGCCTGTGGAGAAGGCAATTTGATGCCTTTAAAGAAAGGGATTGATGTGCTCTCAACCAATAAGTATGCCAACATTGCTGCATGGTTAATGTTAGTATAGGTAATAACATAATTTTGAGTACAATTTTTTTCACTTTGGAATTTTTCGGACAACAAAATTGCATGAGCCTGTAGGGAAAGTGTGATTCAAAGTCTTTGAAAAATCTACAAGTGCTCATTTAAACCAAATGAGAAATTATATGAAAAATGTATCACTGAAAATCAAGACAGGCGAACTTTTGACAATTATTTTGTGTACATTATTACAAGCATTACAAAATAAGAAATGGCTTTAATGTTGGGGAAAGAGAAATGGGACACTCTTTCAGCTCTTCTACATTTCTATGTTACTTATATTGTGGGCTATAATATTCATTTTCAAGCAAGGACTGGACTCAAAACAAAAAGCTTTCATTTCACTGACTACAGTGGTGTAAGCATCAGTAGTTACCATGTTTCTCAGCGTAGTTCACAGCAGCCTCTTTTGAGGGGAATGTGAGATAAATGTTAGACAAGGGATCAGCACTACAATGAAAAGAAACAAATACATTAATTGAGATACAATAAAAAACATCCCCATTTCAGTTATAAGTAATCCTCCTATTTACTAAGTTTTATACTAGTGCCTTCTTTTCCACCTCTAATAAACATCTCCCTTCCCTCTACTTTCATGGATGAGTTCTTAGACAATGAAAGATGTAAAGTATTGGTCATGTTTTGCTACAGGTGTAAGACCTTGAACATTTCTAACATTCTTGTTTAATGAATATGGAAGCGATCTTCACAGTAATGAACACTACTTAAGCAGTAGTGAAAATATGGCCTGAAAAACATTCAGGCTTGTATGGGATTTTCTTTTTTTTTAGGCCCATATGTTCGCTGTACTATGAAGATCACTTCCATATTCATTCCTTTGTCTGCAGTTCACAAATAGAATTTTCATATATTATCAGTCATTTATTCTTGTTACAGTGAGTGTACTTGTCAAGTTTGGAAAATAATTATGACTACCAACTGTGCAGCTACTAAAACTTAGAATCAGCTTTCTCTACAGTCTTTCACCCCGTATGTTGTGGCCTTTGAACTTCGTTTTATGATATTATCTACTGGAAAATCAAAAATTGAAACTCAAATTTGACGCCACTAATGCAATATCAAAAAAGTTAATGTTATTTACCAAATAATTAACCTAGCTTGGTTTGACCTTTTCTCTTTCCTGGGTCCAATTGGTACTCAGATAAATCAAACCTCATTTGATTTTGTTACATTATCGTTGTCGAGCTATGAGCTCAAGCATATTCATTTCCACTGACACGAGCAGTATTCATACTACGTGCACAAGTATTTCTTAATTTGCATCCATCTGCCTCGAAACTGATACTTTATCAAGTGACTTACTTCGAGGCCCATCCCATCAATGGATTCTCCCAACGTTCCATTGTATCAAACTCTATTTGCCAATTCTTTGTGTTAAACGAACCGGACTGCGTCGCTGTTCGTGCAGGGACAAAAATCCTTGCTTTTCTTTCTTTGACAAGCCAGTCTGGTACACCAGTTGTTGTGTCGATTACTTCCTGAAAAGATTCAGTGAGGAATAATTTTAACTTCATGGTCAACTCGTCGACAACAATGCACTAGATAAATCAGCTAATATAAGTCAGCTTGCAAGTAAGTTCTTAGTTCTACTTCTCTACCTTTCCGTCGTCATCAATCACCTCGACAGCTTTCTCCTGTTTATCTACAACTGTTGGTGTTGAACTGCTTGTAAAATTTTGATTTTGAAAGTGGAGGTGGCCAAGCCTTACGGCGGGACGAAGAAGACGAGGAAGATGTGCTCGATGACCAACCTTTATGATGAAAGTCGCCATTTTGAATCTCAATGATCGGCGGGAGATTGGGGTTTAGTGTAATGACGTAATTTATGCTAATCAAAGCTTCATATCATTATCTATTCCAGTTTACCAGGAGTAATGGCTCCTGATGTAGACTAATGATGACATTCGATGTTAAAGTTTACGCATAAGAAGGAGGATATATCCACCAGATGCAGAATATGCAGTTCTTCATCAGATTTCCAGAAAAAAAATTCTTTAAAACATTGTTCAAAATTTATACTTGAAAAAAGTTAGTGGCGTTTCAGACGACATGGTACCTTGGCAAACAAAGCAGTCATTTGGACGAGGGCGGGTATGCTAGCCTGCAGAACAGGCATTATTTTTTTTTCGTTTTTTTATTTTGACCGAATTTATTAATTATTAGCATATAGAGCTCTCTACTAGGGTGTCAGAGCTTTATAAAAAATCTTTCCTTGACACACAGAACATAAAGTTTATTAGCAGTCCCTCTCATAGCAGAGGGTTTGAAACATAAAAATTCTGTTACAAATTCGGCGAAAACCCTCAAAGGAATCATTGTGGTTTTGAGTTCAACCACTTAGCCATGGCGGAACAGCGATTGCTAAGCTTTTCCCCCAAGATGAAAATTCTCCCTTCGTGCTAATGATCTGCTTTGGCCAAGATTAGTATTAGTATTTAGCGCTCCCTCGAGTAAAAGGACGCCTAGTCGCAATTTTTTTTTGTCTTACTCTAGTATAAACTATTACTGTCAACACCCTGAAGGCCTGTCAACTGACTCGATGGAACACAACGGGACACTTTAGTTGTAATGGTAAGGTCCCAACAACAGAATTTTGCTTGTAATCTTATTCGCTTGACTCCACTGACTTTTCGTAGGCAAATAAATGAATGTGTATATTAATACGGGTAAGAATCGACCAGCGTTTAGGGTGCGAACCAACTCAAACTGGGTATAAATGGACTGAATTTGGGCGCAAAACGACCATGGGAACGAAACGACCGGATACCTCAGGGACCATTGCTAACGACACACGCTTCATTATCGTGATCTCTTGTTCGTGATATACACGCGATTTCTTACGTCTGTTGACTCAAGAGAGAGTTAGATACAAATTGGAGAACATCTAAAAAATACTTCTTGACCGAATGAATTTAAGAGCTCCTCGCAGCTAAGAACACTATTGAACTAGTAGTTGAAAATAGGACCTGAAAAAAAACTCAGGTCCGTACGGGATTTGAACCCATGACCTCTGCAATACCGGTGCAGCGCTCTACCAACTGAGTTAACAAGCCAACTGGGAGCTGGTCACTATGTTGGGTCCAATAACTTCTTGACCGTAGAAAAAATATATATATTTGGTTTGTGTACCTGATAAAGAGGCAAGAACTTGCATAATAAGTTTGTGAACTTGCTAAGATTAGAAAATAACTATGATAACCAACCGTACAGCTAATAAAACTAAGGAATCAGCTTTCTCTATCATCGCATTCACCCCTTATGCTGTTCTAATATGAATCAATAAACTCTAATATATAAAGAAGTGCATAGATCATTTAGGATTGTTTTATATCATATGAGACTCAAATCCACTGAGAATTTCGTAATGATAGTATTCTCTACTAGAAAACCATTATTGGACATGAACGCCATCGATGCAATAATTAACAAAGTTGATATTAGTTGGTAAAAAACTTTAAGATATTGTTCAATATTTACATTGAGATTGTTCAACTGACTTTGATTGGCGCAATGTGACTGATAAAACACAAATGCATTCAATATCACGGGCTCACATATTAGCATTTCAGACAAAACGAACACCTTGGCAGACAAAGGAATCAGGTAGTCGAGGGCATGCACGATGTTAGCGTCAAGATGATCGCTTCTTTTAAGTCGCAGCTCGTAGAGAAATGTTCCTAAACGAGCTTATGTCTGATGATTTGTTTTGGAGAGTGCTCCAGCTTCCACTAACGCGGTAACGACGAAAATTGGATAGGAAACAAACGTGCTTGAAATACAAAGGTACGTACTAATGAAAACTGTAGAGAGATGAGAGATATTTCTTCGTATATTTTAATTATTCTGTGGTGTGTTCTATGATATTTTGGCTCTATAGTGTAAAGAAAACCATAGGGTTATAGTTCTGATGGAAATCTTAGGTAAAAAGCTTATTTAATGAGACGAAGTTCACAGAATGAAAAGGCGACACATTCTAAAATTCATTATGCATACACTCTACCACGTGTTCTTTGATAAAAGATTATTGTTCGAATTTTTACCTTTGCTCAGCAGAATTGAATATCTCTAATTATGCTATTTGGTTCCTTTTATGGCAAGATTTCGATTCCTTACGGCACTGTAGTTCTTAACGCAAACAAGTATACGATGAAAGACAGCAAACATGGGCGTGCTTTGATTTGGAATTTCTCTTATGTCAGCCCAATATCTCACGAGACAAAGTGGCGAATGAGTTAGATTTAACAAATAGAGAAGTCTTGACTGTGCTCTGTTCTGTTGTAAAGCACGCAGGAAGCGGCTAGAGCACGAA